ACCACCATACTTGGCTTATGTGATGCTGGGGATTGGTCCAGAATTTCACTCATGCTAGGTAAACATTCAACCAACTGAACTACATCCTCAGCTGTAGTGTTTTTATTTATTTAAAGTTTTTGAGACAAGGCCTCACTCTGTAACCCAGGTTGGTTTTGAACACTTGATAATCCTGCCTCAGCCTTCTGAGTGGTGAGGTTACATGAATGAGACACTATGCTGAGTTCTAGAGCCTCAGTGGAGACTGATGGAGATAAGATGGCTGGCTGGGTCATCCCTAGTGGTTGTGGTCAAGTTTCTGGCATGCCTTTCATCTAGGCAGTTACCCAGGACACACTTAGAACTTACTTATTGCCCTCATTTCACTGCAGTAAAAACTAAAGACTGAAAATAATTAAAAACCCCACTAAAAGCCAGGTGGTGGTAATGCACGCCTTTAATCTCAGCCCTTCAGAGGCAGAGGCAGGTGGATCTCTGTGAGTTCCAGGACAGCCATGGCTGCACAGGGAGACTGTCTCAAAAAACTTTAGATACAGAGTCCTACTATGTTGCTCAAGATGGCCCTAAACGTTTTTATGGCTTTGCCTCCTGAGTAGCTGGGACTATAGATATGCACACTGTCCCAACTGCTACCTTAAAAGAAAAAAAAAAAAATACAGTTTGTAGATCACAAAAGGTGGTCTGCTAATGGCATGGTATAAACAAATGTTGAAAACCTTATTAAATGTTGATAAGATAAACATTGATTCAGCAGGGTTGGGTGGGGCTTGAATGTCTGCAGGTCTAACAGGCTCAGGGTGAGGCAACAGCTCTGTGGTGCTTTCTCCAAGGTGAGCTACAGCTGCGCTTCCGCTCATCTCACAGTAATGGAGTGATAATCAATGGCTTGACCCACAGTGGCTGTCACATTTACGCTCCATGTTAAATTAGTTTTCAACCCCTTCCTATTTTTAACCAATTGTCCATGGTGGGCACAAATTAACCGTAAGAAATGATGATTAAAGACATTGTAAACTGCAATGATCTGGCCTACCAAGGCTGGGTGATGGCTTGGCAACAGTATCTGTGGAGAAGGGAAGTCAATTCAGTGTTGTGGGGGTTTGGCCACACTGTGAGGTCCTCTTGCCCAACACACATTTGTTTTTGATGGTGGTGGAGTGGTATTGAGAATCAAGTTCAGGGTCTAGAACCATTGGCATTGTGCATGCGGGGTAAGCACACTACCACTGAGGTATGTCCCCCAGCACAGTACTATTATTTATTTATTCATTTTTTTCATATATGTTTGTGGACCCTGTGCATGCAGTACTCTTGTAGTCAGACATTGGTTTCAGACCCTCTGGAGCCAATTAAAGATGGTTGTTAGTGGGAACTGAACCCAGGTCTTTTGAAAGAGCAGTCAGTGCTCTTAACTGATGAGCCAGCTCTCCAGCTCCCAGTATTATTTTTAAGATGGAATCTTATGTACTCCAGGCTGACCTTGAACTTCTGTTTTTCTTGACTGTGTCTCTCCAGTTCTGGGATTAAGTGTGTGCCCCCACCATGCTTGGTTTTATGCAGTGCTGGGATTTTTTTTTTTTTAAAGCAGGGTCTCACTATGTAGTTCTGGTTGGTATAGAACTCACTAGTTAGATCACGTTGGCCTCCAATTCACAGAAGTCCACGTGTCTCTGAGGCTTCTGGAGTGCTGGGATTAAAGGCAAGCACACTCCACCCCACCAGGTTTCTTTGTGTAGCCCTGGCTGTACTGGAACTCACTGTAGATTAGGCTGGCATCAGACTCAGAGATCCGCCTGCATCTGTCTTCCAAGTGCTGGGATCAAAGGTATGTACCACCACCATCTGGCCACACCTGGCTTTTTAATCCCAGGTCCTTTAAATTTTTTTTTTTTTATTTTGTGTGCATTTGTGTTTTGCCTGCATACATGTCTGTGTGAGGGCAGTGGATCCTGGAGTTACACACAGTTGTGAGCTGCCATGTGGGTACTAGGAATTGAACCTGGGTCCTCTGGAAGAGCAGCCAGTGCTCTTAACCACTGAGCCATTTCTCCAGCCCCAATCCCAGATATTTTAACCTCATAAACCCTATCATATCTCAATCCAAACTATAAATCATCCAAAGCATAATGGACCCACAGGTACAGCAAGTACAGTTAAGCCAAAACATTTTCAGTTCTAGCACTGAAATCTGTAACTTTTGAAAAGATTTCTGATAAAACTATTTGCTAAAGAATCAATAAAAAACAAAACCAAAATATTTAATTGCAGGGTATGGTCATACACACCTGTAATCCCAGCATTTGGGAGGTAGAAGCAGGAGGATCAGGAGTTCAAGGTCAGCTTAGTTCACATAGTGAATTTGAGACCAACCTAGCCTGTATGGGACCTTGCCTCAAAAATAAGAAAAAGGGGAGAGAGAGAGAGAGAACTCCCTTCAAGCCATTCCACTCTCAGAACTTTTCATGTTTCCTTAATAAATCTACATTTACCCTGCTTAAGAAGACAATAAAAGCTGGGTGGTGAACACCTTTAATTCCAGCACTCAGGAGGCAGAGGTGGATTTCTGTGAGTTCAGGCCTTGTGTATAGTGCAAAGTTCTAGGACAGGGAGAGCTACATAGTTAAGATTCAGTCTCAGATCAAATTTATTTTTTCCTATTTTGTGGGGTTTTGGGTTCAAATTCTGGTGAAGCTTCAATTCTTCCACCCTCAAAAGCCTGTGGGATTGAGCATTGTTTAGCTAATATCCATGGATCCAGAGTGTTTACAAGGGGTGAGGGGCAAGGGGGGAGTAGAACACAATTCATAACAAGATCCATCCCTAAGAACAAGAATTTTATAAACAGTAGCCATTAAAAGTTTTAAAGCCGCCAGGCGTTGGTGGTGCATACCTTTAGTCCCAGCACAGAGGCAGGCAGATCTCTGAGTTCGAGGCCAGCCTGATCTACAGAGCGAGTGCCAGGACAGGCTCTAAAGTTACAAAGAAACCCTGTCTCAAAAAACGAAAGAAAACAAGAGTATTAAAACCTTGTATTATGAGCTATGTTTTGAGGTTAGATGTATCTCTGGAAGTTAAAAATGATCGAGACAGCTTTGTTACCTGCATAGTAGTCCCAATTCAGCAGGACTCCTGGAGCCCAGGAATTCAATCAAGGCTAGCCTGGACAACACAGAAGTCCATTAAAAACAATCTCCGTGGGCTGGAGAGATGCTTCAGCAGTAAAGAGTATTGGCTACTCTTCCAGACATCCTGAGTTCAATTCCCAACAACCATATAGTGGCTCACAAGCATCTGTAGTGGGATCTAATGCCCTCTGCTGGAATAAAGGTGTACATGCAGATAAGAGTGTTGATATACTTAAAACTTAAACATTTGTGACAAAGGCTTGGTTATGATAACCTGTATTTTATACTAACGCCACAAGGGGGCACTGCTGAGACAGATGAACAGGCAAGATGGTCAATTCAGTTTCTGAATTAGGTTTTACTTTTGTGGATTCCTGTGCAGTTTTAGTTGGCTTTTTTTGTTGTTTTTTTCTGTTCTTGCTGGGTATTGAAACTTATGTTTCAGGAATGCTAGGCAGGTGCCCTATCACTACCCTGTATCCAAGTTCTTTTAATGCTTTTTTTATTTGTATTTTTTGTTTTTGTAGACAGCATTTCTCTGTAGCTTTGGAGCCTATCCTGGAACTTGCTCAGTAGATCAGGCTGGCCTTAAACTCAGAGATCTGCTTGTCTCTACATTCCTATATTCCTGGAGTGCTGGGATTAAAGGTGTGCACCCTGCGCCAGCAGCCATCGCCCATTTAATCGAATTTTGCAATTACTTTAGAGCCCAGGCAGACCTTGAACTTGTGATCCATTTGCCTCAGCCTGACAAGCTGAGATCACAGGCATATACCACAAGGCCTGGTTTTCATTTTAAGCATTTAAGAAGTGGACTAGGAGTAAATATTTGGATGTTTTTTTTCATGTGCTACAACAGTACTTTGCATTTTCAACAGAATAAACAAAATTGATAATTTGACACATCTTTTGTCAGTCAAGTATAGTAGCACACCTTTAATCCCAGGGTTTACCAGGCAAAGGCAGGTCTATCTGAGACCAGTTTGATCTATAGAGTTCCAGAACAACCAGTGCTAATTTCTCAAAAGAAGTGTGGGCCATAGCACTTATGGTCAGAGGCCAACTTGTGGGAGTCAGTTCAGCCAAGTCTCCTTTTAGGAAGTCTTCCTTCCTGAGCAGGGAGTGGAGACATATTCTCACCTACTCCAATAGTTCCCATCACAGCACACTACACAAGGGACTTCACCGTCTCTTGTTGGACCACAGGACAGTTATACTCACAAAATGCTGATCCAGGACCTCCACTTTTAAGCAATATCACATAGAGATATATGGAAACCATGTATCTACACATGGGGCCCCAGGATTAAATTCTCTACCAAAGTAGGAAGTCCTTTTGTAGTTTGAGATATGACTGTTTAGTCAAGGACCCATAATAGGTAGGAAATGTTACCTTTGGTTTTCAGAAGGGACCTAATCAAGTCTTTTCGCTGTTTAAAATAGTACCACCATATTAGTACCAAATTATTTTTTGGCAGGATCTTGCTTTAGTACTGGCTTAGACTCAACATTCTCCAGAAACATCCTCCATTCTTCACCTTTCCCTACACAAACTGGCCAGCAAAAGGTCCTGTTAGAAAAATACTATCTTTTCTGCAGCCAGTAACCTTCAGATTGTGATGGTGTTTCACCAGCCGAGGAAAAGATTTCTCAAGGTGACACAGGGAAGCTTGTTTCTAAAGAACCTGCATCCCTGAGCCAAGGCCAATGATAAACTATTTGAGCACACCATTCTAACATGTTACAAAGCTCCTCCTAGTGTCTGAAGTGTCTTGTCAGCTTCAGAACACTTTCCATGAGGCTGACAAATGGGAAGGGACACCTTTGGTTAAAATCTTGTGATTTTCTGCAAGTTTGACTCAACACAGCATCAGGTATTTCTTAAAACAAGTTTTATTTAAATAAGGGTTTAAATACATTACATAACATTAAAACTGAAAGGGAAAAGAAAACCAAAAACCAGCTTCTTGATTCACTTAGCACTGGGCAGCCGCTACCAACGAGTTGAAACCTTTACAGCTAGCCACAATGACTGATCCTTCGTTTGATATTTTCCCTTTGTCATAAGCTTAATTGATACTAGGCTTGTTTCACTCTTTAGTTGTCTTGACATCCCCTGGCTAGGGATGTTTCTGGCTAAAATGACTAATCTGGCAGCCAGCCAGATGTCCAAGACCTCTGTAGAAAGGTGGCCCTTTCTGAATCCTGCCCCCCTGGTCAGACACCAGGGGTCCCTGCCAGAGACTCCCTTGGTGCTGTGGTGTTACCCATTCTCATGTTCACCTGGTGACATCCTCCTAGGGCAGGGGACTCTATTGAGGGAGAGCTGAAGAACTTTTGGGTAGCATAGCCTATGAACTTGGGGTTCTGGGCTTGGCTGAAACATTGTTATTGCTTTGTTTCAGGCTGGACACTGCCAGGGCTTACTGCTTGACCTGTTTAAATGAGGGACTTCAAGACTAGACAGCATGGCTCTTTTCAGTTTATTGCATGAAGGAGTTACACTAGTCCAAGTTAAAAGCGGACCCCAAATGGTTACATTATACAAGCTGTGAGGTTTTTAAACTTGTGACAAGGGACAGGAGGGAAATTCTACTCATTGCAAGGAAATCCTCACTTAAGCTTCAGAGAGTCACAAGCACTTAAAACCCATGAACCTTCAGCTGATCGTCCTTAGCCAGTCCAATCTGCAGAGAGAAAAGGACAGGAGTCAAGTCTGTGAACGACACCAATCACCACTTTTCCCACTACACCAGGCTAGAAGAGTCCCAATAAGGAGAGCACACCGTTAAAACCTCAACTTCCCTTCTGACCCCTGTAAGACCAGAAATGTGTTTGGAAGGATGGGAGATCTAAATGCTCAATTCCAAGACTACAGAACCCGGGAATCCTACACATGCTCACCTCTATCAGGAACTGGCATATGTTCTTGCGCTGGTCACCCTGTAGCTGAATTACTTCTCCATATTCTGGATGCTCAATTACAGTACCATTGCAGGCAAATTTCTGTAAGCACAAAGGGTGTAGAACATGAAAGCCAGGCAACAGCATTCAATCGTTTTTGCTTTGCATCCCCTCCCCTTGCAGACAACACAACGTGCTCTTTCTACAGTAAACCCACCTTCTTAAACGCCTTCACTAGTTTCTTTTTATCGTAATCATCAGCGATCCCTTGGACAGTGGTAAGGGTCTTCCTGCCGTTTCTCTGTTGAATTCTTATATGGATATAATCCTCAGTGCCAGCAGGAAGCAGGTCATCACCCTTACTTGCATCAGCAAAGGGGTCTGGGGAGAAAACAATAAAAGTGTTCAAAGGCGTTGTTGCTCCTCCGCCGCTTGCCGGCTCCTGAGGTTTCTGGTCGTGCGGACAGCAGCACTGCAATCGTTGGGCTCCGGAGTCATCCTTTGTTGTCCCTCCCAGGTCAGGTCAGTCCTAGACCTGCAAGGATGGGCCTCCCGCCCTAGGCCCGCCCTGCCTCCGCAGCTGATCACGTGCCGGAGAGCCCTAGCGGGCAAAGCAGTGCCCCACCCGGCTGATGCAACCAACCGGAAGCCGGAGCCCGAGGCGGGGCCTCTCCTCCCCACTCCGTGACAACGACGGTGACGTAGAGGACGTGACGCAGGGGTGGCGGGAGGGGGCGGGTGTGGCCCGAAGAGAGGCAGGAGCCATTAGTAAATGCGCCACCCGAGACCGCCCAAGGGCTGACCTCCCACCCGTTCCTTCCGGGCGGCCTCGGAGGCCGACCCCGGACGCCAGTCTCGGGCCCACGGGGCCTTCGGCCTTAGCTAAGGGTCCACCACGCCCGGCGGTTTCGCCGAGATCCCGCCACCCCCACCCGGGCCCACGACCTTCTCCGGGCTTACCGAAAGAGTGGAGGTTCTGGATAGCGGACATACGATACGATTCCTTTTCCTCGGTGGAAACGGCCTGCGGAAGGCGGCTGCGGGAGAAGGCGGGCAGGGGGGACGGAGCGTCGGGAAGCGAGGGGGCTCGAGGGGGAGGCAGCTGAGTCCTCGGCGGCGGCTCAGTGACTGGGGCGGAGGGGCGGCGCCTGTATTCACTTATATAGCCGCCCCTGTGACGCCAGCGCGCTGCCCTCACGTCCCGGCCCCACCCAGGACGTCAAGCTCCCCGGCGCCCGTACGCCGCGGCTTCCTATTGGTCGGGGGCGGAGTCAAGGCGCGGCGCTTGCGCACTGGGTTTGGCCGGGAGAGGGCGTCCTCTTGAATCAAGGAGGGGTGAGAGGGGGAGGGAAAGCTTGGTCCGCCTGTGCGCTTGCGCAGTGTGGGCGGTAGTTGTCTGGGCGGCCAAGAAACTGGCGGAGGTTTCGAGTGCGCCTGCGCCTCTGGCACGTTCTACCATCTTGATTGACCCTTTTGGGGTGCTGCTGGGACTAACTCAAAGAGGGGTCTTAGGGTGAGGATCGATTGGCGTTCTTTAGGGGGGACTTACTTGCTGGTCCTCCCAAATTCGACAGATCTCGGCTATGCCATAGCCATTAACTCATCCTTCGCCCCACCCATTCACAGATTTAGCCGTTTAATCAACATAAAATAATCTAATCAAAACCCTGAACCTTATGGAGTATCATTTGTCTTAAAATTGGCAACCTAAAGTTGTTACTTAGATGAATTTTAAGAAAGGAAGTATTTTCCGAGGTGGGGGTGGGGACCCCAGAAAAATTCAGGCACCAGAGGATGCTGTTTGTCCTGCAAACCTGTGCTTGAGGTAAAGCCTTTCGAGAGTTTAGGTGGATTTTTTTCAAAGCAATTAACCTTTCTTTTTTTTTTTTTCCAAGACAGGTATCTCTGTGTAGCTCTGGCTGTCCTGTAAAACCAGGCTAGCCAGGAACTCAGAGATCCGCCTGCCTCTGCTTCCTTAGTGCTGACACTAAGGCGTGAGTCACCACTGCCCGGCCAACAGTTAACCTTTCAGTTTATTTTTAAAATTGAATTTTCTGCAGTGCTTGCGATGAAAAATAGTTAGCTAGGTAGGCATTCTGTCGCTGAGCTACAGTCCATGTCACAGTGGGTTTACTGAAATAACTCTTCGTGGCAGGAGCGAATGGTGAGTAAAAATCGGGGATCTTAGATCCAAAGGTCCCGAGGAGCCAGGGAGATTAGATAAAAAACTGGACAGTCAAGCATGATGTAATCGGGTTCATGGGGGCTGTCAGTAGAACTAGAAACTGCGGTGGCTGCCAACTAGTGTGTCAGACTTTGTTCAAATACTCCCCCAAAGGTGGATGCTTACCTAAAATCTCTTAAAACTATTGCCAACTGCCAGGCGGGAGGCAGAAACATCTCCAGGTTCAAGGCCAGCTGATCTGCACAGTGAGTTCCAGGACAGTCGGAGAAACCTTGTCTCAAATATATAAGTATTATATATTTGATATATAATAATGTATAAGTATTATATACATACATATATACATACATATATTCGTCATGGTGCACCCTTGTTATCCCAGCTCTTGAGAGAAGGAAGTAAGGAAAGAATTCAAGTTCATATGAGACAGGATATACTGTCTCAAAAAAACACAAAAACAAATAATAGCCAGGTTTAGTAGCACACACCTGTGATCTTAGCCCTTGTGAGGCAGAGGCAGGCAGATCCCTGTGAGCTTGATCCCCACCAGATCTGCAGTGAGACCCTGTCTCAAAACAACGAAAAAACTGCTGGGTATGGTGGTGGCACGAGCCCTTAGTCCCAGCCTGGTGAGGCAGAGGCAGGTGGATCCCTGTGAGTTCCAGATCAGCCTGGTCTATAAAGTGAGTCCCAGGACAGCCAGGGCTGTTTGTCACACAGAGACTACTGTGTCTAAAAACCAGAACAAACATCCCAAAACAAAATAACTACAAAAAGTTTGTGAGCTGGCAGCCCCACAAACTGTCCTTTTAAGCTCAGATCACCAGTCTCACTGTCTTAAAGGTAAGGGCTAGTAGGACAGACAGAAAATGGAGAGATGGAATGATGTGGCAGAGTGACAGGCTTCTTCAGATGGGGTGATTAGACAAGGCTTGTATAGAGGTGGGGTCTTGACCAGAATCTACTTGTTGGGAAGGAAATGGCTACAGAGCCAAGGACCGGAGCTCACCAAACAGAACATCCCCCGGGGAGGAGTTGGGTGGATTTATTTTGTGTGGCTGTGGATTGAACCCAGGGTCTTGCACATGCTAGGCAAGTACTCTATAGACCGGCAACTCTAGTCCTGAATTTTGTTTTTAAGGTGTACTTATTTGGGGACTGGAGAGGAGAGATGACTTAGTGGTTACGAGCACTACTGCTCATCCAGAGAACCCAAGTTCTAATCCCAGACTCATCATGGTGGCTCACAATGGTCTTCTGGCCTGCACTGTATGTATGTGATGTGTAGACCTAAGCAAACTGCCCATACACATAAAAGTAAAGGTAAGAAATGAAAAATAACGTGTATGAATGTTTGCCTGCCTGTGCATGCCTGATGCCCTCAGAGGCCAGAAGAATGCCTGAAGTGGAGTTACAGACATTTGTGAGCCACTGTGTGGGTGCTAGGAATGGAACCTGGGTTCATAACTGCTGTGCCACCTCTCTGGTACCCTACAGTTTGTTTCCATTCCTATTTACCACATGATTGATACACATACCCCCACTCTCGTTATTTTGAGGCAGGGTATCATACTGCCTTGGCTGGCTCTTCCTGCTGGTCCTTTTGTCTCCATTTCCCAGATGCTCAAGTACAGGATGTGCCATGGATCCAGCAAGGGCTCTAAGCAAAGTTTAGATTAAACAATTTAGCTCCCTTGTTATCAGGAATGCTATAAGTCATGCGCATCTCAATATTATCCATCCAAGTTTGAAAACCTGAGGCCCCAGCCTGTCAGTCGGGGAACCTTTACACTCATGGTGTGGCTCTCCTGGAGAGATCTATTGTGTGAGACCAGAATCTAATCCCCTTCCCCTACATATGTAGTAATTGTCTCAGCACCATTTTTTTGAGTAAAGTCTACCCATCTCTGTAGACTCCTCATGCCCAGGCCTTCTCTGAATGTATGTGTGGGTTCTCTTCCCTTGGCCTGTTTATCCCTGAACCACACTTCCATTTCTTTAGGGTTCTGCTGGCTGCTTGTGGTCCCCATTTCACCCTGTGCTTATCACTGGCCCCCACAGTCTCTACTACAGCAGCTCTAGGAAGCTCCCCCAGCTTTCTCACCTGAGAAAGCTCAGCTGAGAGCTGATATTTGTATCTGCTCCTCCCTTTCCTGGAATGTGGTACTCCCTCCTCTGTCTGCATTTCAGATCTTCCAGGCATCCTTCCAGGCTCACCTGGGATGCCCTTGCTCCGAGAAGATTGTTTGCCTGCATGTCCTTAATTTTGGTTTGTCATGTAAATAAACTAGGCTGGTCTTGAATTCACTACGTAAGACCAGCCTCGAACTTCCGATCCTCCTGCATCTACCTGAAAAGTGCTGGGATTATAGTCATTCGTCATCATGGCTGGCATAATGATACTCATCATGCTGTATTGTGATTACCAGTGTTTTGGACCAGCTACATAATTTGCTATCCACACTATTAACACTAAGGCCAGGCTTGTGGTGGTGGCATATGCCTTTAGTCCCAGCACTTGGGAGGCAGAGGTAGGAGGATCTCTGTGAGTTTGAGACCAGCCTGGTCTACAAGAGCTAGTTCCAGGACAGGCTCCAAAGCTACACAGTGAAACCCTATCTTGAAAAACCCCAAAAACAAACAAACACAAAACAACAACAAAAAACCACCACCAACAACAAAAACCCCAAAGCTAAACAACAAAAAAACCCAAACATAAAGGCCTTGGTTCTAAATAGTTAAAAGGTTCAAGACAGGGATAGTAGGGCACAAATTAAGTGCCCTGCAGGGGGAGGAGTATTGTGACACATACAGGTCACATTCTCTCAAATCTGGCCCTGCCTATTTTCTTGTATCCCCTGCTAAGGCTGTAAGCTTAAGGAACAGTTTTGTCTGGTCCACTCTGTATTGAAAGCAGTGAATGGACATGTCGGTATCCATTGTAGATGCTTAGTTACTGGGAATGGCCAACCTCTGGCTCCAGGCTGAACCTCTGCCACTCCAGTCTGAGAGCACAGGAGGGAGAAAAATACGTTCTGTGGGCCAGAGTCTAGATCTCAAAGGGAACTCCTGGCCTTGCCCTGATGCAGAACAGGGAAGGTGGCTTTCCCCAAACCACTCTCCAGCTTTTCTTGGCCAGCTGGGACCTGTGTGCATGCCTGATGTGCTAGTGTGTGGTGCCAGATCTGACTGACCTATTCGCTTGCAAATAGTTATTGCCCCCCCCCCCAACACACACACACTTTGACACAGGTGTGATGTAGGATGTAGGTCAGAGGGCAGGTGACAGGGAGTTAGAGACTGCCCTAGCTGGAAAACACCAACTCTTCGCTTGGCCCTGCAGAGGGTGATAAAAAAGCAGGATTAAAAAGCTTGACACCCCCGGCTTCATGTTGCATCTGGCTACATCATAATAACATTGTCAAAGGTCAGCTACCACAGTGTCCAGATCCCCCAGAGCAGCCTCGAGAAGCTGCCAGGCATTGCCCAACTCTTCAAGGTCTAACCTGCCTTTGGGATTAGCCTGTTCTCAGTATCAGTGTCCCCTCTAGTTTGCCCCAGATCCCAGGAACAACAGACCTGATTGATGGACCCATTACAACCAAGGGTGGAAGTGCTCCTCAGATATCAGAGACCTTCTTAGCCCTACTCAAGCCCCACATAGCCATCCAGAGACAGTCAGAGGTCATGGTCAATTTGACCTCTACCAGACTGAAAGCAACTGACTGCTGCCAAAGAAACAGGCTTTGCCTTTGATTTTCTGAGGATGGCCCTAAGGCCATTCAACTTCTGTTCTTCCTAGTGTGGCTAAACTGAGAAGAAAGCTGGAATTCATAGAGCTCTGACTGCCTCAACCTTGAGGGTCCTGGGGTTAAAGAGTGCACCATCACACTTGTCCTGTTTTGAAACAAATTCCTGGGTCTTCTAGGCTGACTTTGAACACCCTAAGTAGCCGAGGACTT